ATTTCTATCATAAAAATTTCAAAAATTAAAATATCGTCATATTTCAATGTTTTATACACAAAAGAAGCACACCTCTATACAAACGTAACGATTTTTCGGGTCTCAGGTAAGTTTTTTCGGAGTTATACAAAATTAAAAAGATTTTATTGGCTTTTTTCAATTTTTTTAGTTTTTTTATTTTTTTCTAGAAAGACCAAATATACCAAAAGCTCAGTGACCTTTTTATTGTATAATGGTCATAAAAGTAAATTAGTTTGTAGCAAAACATAGTTATAAAAATAATATTAACTATTTTTAATATTCATTTAAACGTCTGTTATGGTCGTGACAGGATTTTGTGTTTTTCCACTAAAGATGCTCTTTTTTTTAAAAAAATAGGCTACCAAAGATATTGCGTTACCATGGGCATTTTATGAAACTTCAAATGTTAATGAAATAAAAATAATAATAAAAGTTTAAAAAAAAGGGGAAAAAATTTTGCAAAGTGCTTTTCCTGAAAACGTACGTTTTTCAATTTTCACTCATTAAACGTTTTCAACAAACTCATTCGTTTTTATTTCAATCAACAAAAGTTGTCGTGAGTGATTCCAAAATACAAGTTTGCACTTCTCTCATACCAGTCAATAATACAAAGCCCTTGCAGCTATATCAACCCCTAAAACTTATTGATCCTGGCACTGTTTATTTGCTTTATCAGCAGGATCTTCCCTCCTAAGAACTATTTAAAGCTTTTAGTCTGATTACAAAAAACAAAAAAAAAACCTACTCATAGTGAACAATTTCTTTCTTAACAAAATCTCCATTTTAAATAAACCAAACAGTTAGCTAACTTATCATTCGCTATTGGAGTAAAATATTGGCAATTAAAAATTCAAGGAAATTCATTGAGAGACGATTAATTAGAATAGATTAGCTATACTTAGCAAGTTTGCCTTACGGTACTACAGTAGACCGATGATCTTGTAAGAAATAATCCTGTATTAAATATAATCCTAGTGTCGTAATCTAAGCTATTTTAACAAGAGCCTTTCCTGGTGATAACTAAAAATTTACATTCCTCAAATATAAAGTAAGTTAGCTAACCAGTCAAATGGTAAGTTAGGAGCCATAAAAGTTATTAGTTACCACTTTGTTATTTATCTTCTAATAATTTGTTTATATTTCAAAAACTTTTTCTGAAGAAAAAGAAAAACACATGACAAACACTTGTGTTTTTTCCATCAAATTACAATAGGGCCTTGAATGAGAAAACTACAGAAATACCACCAAGGAATTGCTGACAATAAACAAATTAAGGAGTAGCCTAAAGCTCCAAGCAATAATTTCTTAGTGCGCTAAATACCTTTGGATGTTAATTTGTTTGTTACAGTTTTACCCGTTATTCTATTAGAACCCCCATTTGGTTTAGAAGGAAAAAACAATAATTTTGCTAACTAATGATTTGTTAAATCTTGCAGTAACTTATAGTCTCTTTAGAGATATTTATTTGTTTCTTACTTTCTTGCTTGTAGGCTATGTAGGTAGCAAGAGATTATTTAATTCTTTTGTCAACGATTGAAGATGCTATCTATCTCTGATATCCAATCACATGAAAATAAAATTCCTTAATTACAGAATATTATGATTTTAGCCTTACTAGCAGGCATACCTAACTATACTAACAATTCACGAGTTTTATACTAACTATTTACATCACTACGACAGCAGGCTCAACATTTATCACATTTAAAAACCCTAGGCGTACATTTCACAATTATCCTCAAAATAATTACCGGTAAATCCCTTTTAATACCAACTTGAATTTTGTCCATAGAATGACAATTAACACACTAAGTTAGTCCCACTTCATTGTACAAGAGGTACGTATAAGTTAATGCAACAGATAAAAAAAGTTGCAGTAGCCGAAGTAAGTAGGTCTACAAGTTTCTAATAAACGGTAGAAATAAAAATACTAGCATCATTCATAACAACTTTCATAATAACTGTGGCTTTGGTTGCAAGATGACACAATTACATCACCATAGGTACCTTATCAGTAGGCCTAAATGTGATTCCTAAAAATACTTGGAGCCAAATCAAACCCTTAGCTTAGTGGGCCTAAAAATAATTGGCAACAAAACCAAACATGCTAGATTTGGAAGAGAAGCAGAGATCCAAGGGAGAACATTTACAGAAATATAGGGCTAACAATAATAAGAAAAGGTTGATTCCTTTAAATATTTGGCAGTTACTGTCAGCTCACAAAGTGAGGAACACATACAAAAAAGGAACATATTGGCCGGTAGAAGTATTGGCCTATGTAGCCAGCTTTTGAGAACCAAGAGTCGATTAGTCCGACACTCCTAGATCTGAGTAAAACCTTCAACATTTTATGACATGATATCCTTTTAAGAAAGCTTGAATGTTATGGAGCAACTGGTGTCGTGCTGGAGGCTTTCAAGTCGTACTTGAGAGGTAGGAAGCAGGTTGTTGAGGTCAGGGGTGCTTCCTCTGGCGAACTGTTGGTTGAAGCTCTCCTTTACACAGACGACACCACACAGATTAGGGGAGGAGCGAGCTTGGACGGAATCAGGGAGGCGGCAGCTGCTGACTTTAAATTTCAAGTCAATGCTGATAAAACACAACAGATTGTGTGCAAGTCAAGATTTGGCCGTATCACAACACTACCAACTCCAACAAGTTAAACTTTTGAACTTCACCATAGACAGGAAATTAAGTTGGCAACCTCAAATTGATGAAACATGCAATAAGTTATCTAGAGTTGTCTTTCTGCTGCGAATACTAAAGAGTAGCTTAAGTGAAGCGTTTCTTATAAACATCTACCACAGACTGTTCCACAGTCACGTTACTTACGGCATACTTCTCTGGGGCCATGCTGTGTCTGTCTAAGGGTTCATGAGCATCTTGATCATGAATATGAAATTTACAGAGTAGCCTACTGGTACAGAAAATAATTTTGATGGTACACAATTTTAAATGAAGAACTTATATAACAACACTTTATTTTCAATAGCATTTTAGACCAGGGAAAGAGAACAAAAAATAGCCTATGAGCACAAAGGTCAGATGATAAAGCCGATACGCCAAGACCGATGCACGATTATGCTACAGTGGGTACGGTATCTAGTTCAGATCGCAGATATTTCAACCTGTAACGTGTGTGCAAAGGCCTGTTTAATTTAATTTGTAATCTATATATAAAGCCAAAAGTACCCATGAACTTTTGAGAAAACTACAAGTCACATCCCCATAAACCATATACTTAAAATGTTCGTCATGACGAGAAACCTTGTGCAAAATTATCCATTTTTTCATAAATTGCCCTTTAAGGTCGTAATTCCTTTCTAAAGGGAACTTTTCATATACCTAATGTTAAAAATACCTCAGCTGTACTTATTTGTTTGTTATTCTCTCCAGGTGTGATTATTTGTTTCTTTTACTGTATTTTGTTTATTTCAGGTTAACTTAACCAATCAATAGTTTTATTAATACTTATGATGTCAAACGGGGTGAAGCCTGTGGGTAACAGCTAGTTTTGTTAAATATAAATTTATTGTTCAGTGTTATGTGTTTTACTGTGACGATACTGCTTAAGTTGAAACTTCTATATGTCTGATGTTGGCATTGTAGCCTAATGGTGAAACAGCCATAACCAACAACAACATAACCAATAACAATGTCTGGATTGACCTGTAGACTAAGGTGAAACTCAATTTTTAGCTAAACAAACACAATCGGCCTATTTAATCAAGTGTAAAATTGTTATCCGATGAGGAGACAACCATGAAGGAGATCGAAGATAAGAAGTTAAACCTAACTTAACTGGAGCTATTAAGCTATCCCGTCCTTTATATTATCTCCACTATTTTCATTCTACAAAACGGGGACAGTAAAAATAATAAAAATTGTCTAAAATTAATAGGCCTAGTATAGGCCTAAGTAATGTAGCCTATTAGTTGAATTCAAGATCAAATTAAGATAGCATCTAGGCTACCTTGCATCCACAAAATTGTATTTTGATAGAGAGGTTTCAGAATGCTTCCACTGCATTCTGCCAAAATAATATAAGTTAATGTTGTTTAAGTTCCATGCAAGGTGATGTGAAAACGGCAAACAGAGCCCATCTTGCAAGGGTTGGGGTAAATTGTTTTCATTAAAGTCCACTGAATCATAGAAAACTTAAATTAGCCTATAACTTAACTTAAAAATTGTTAGCCTAGCTTCGGGCTATATATAAAATTATCAGTGTACTTCCTAAGTTAGGATATGACAAACTATAGGCCTACTTGAATAGATAGGCTACAACTTCCGTATCGGCGTGGTGGGGCGATCTGACGTTCGAGCAAGAGGGAGACCTGCCAGGTTGACTACCCACCTGACCAATAAGAGCAAGGATAGCCTGACGCGGTTTCCATAGCAACAGGCGCTGTTGCCATATCGCATTGCATCTTCACGCCTGCACGCAAATGTGCAGTTCCTCCAGTGTTATGACAGTGACTACTTCGAGTACGTATACTGTCCGCGAGAGTTTAGAAGTCCCCTAAGCTAGAAAAAAAACTTTTTGATGTTGGAATAGTCATCACATGTGTATTTTATACTATATTTTGGGTTTACAACAGAAATGTCGTTTCCCACCAGAAGTCAGTAAATATCAAAGAGTGTTCCAAACATAGGGAATCATTTATTTTGGAACAAATGTTTCTGTAGGCTACTCTACGCTGTTCTGTTAACAACACTTCCCTATCAGCAGATGTTCTCTAACTATCAACAGATAACACAAAATTACAGCACAGCACACTGTGTTAACGTTGCGTACATTGTTGTAAGCTGACGCTGGCGCGCATATTCGGTGAGAAAGTGGCAGTTCCTGCTCACTGCGACTAACAACGCGGCAACACCGCAACAGCAGTCTCCCCACTGCTCTCTACCCCTCCACACCTCTCCGATTCGGAAGTTGTATCTATTACAGTATAGAGTTTTAAACATCCAGGTTGGCTTACCTGCTAGAAGCTTCACTAAAGCTCCCTCCATCCAAAAGGCGAACTTTGGCGAATAAAACTGCACTCACAAAAGGAACAGCTGTTAACTCATCGATGCACACATCCACTGCAAATTTATACTTTTTCTTCTTCATCATAAACGCCATGACACACAAAGTAATGTTTGTTTCGTTAATCTAATAAATACAAAGACAAGCTAGGCCTATCTCTGTATTATCATTTATTGTTATTGGTCCTCCTAACAATAACTTTTCATGATTATGATTGACATTAGCGCTATGACATAGGCTTAAACTAGCAACAATCGTTACATCATAGTTAGGATTAAAATCAATTTATTTTTGATATCAAGACTTGGTTAGTTATAACAAACACCTAATCTGGCAGTTAAATCAAGCAGTAAAATAAGTTATTGCCAGAGCTGAAACTGCGGTTAACTTAGGCCTACTAGGATAACTCAAACTGCCCCATAACCTCTAAATCGTGAAGTTTGAAATCCTGCAGTTTTAACTTTAGATTACAATTACGACCAAGGATATAAAAAACAACCATTTCCAAGTTTACACCCGATGTCTAAAAATCATTAATAAATATTCAAGTTGCTAATTCAAAGCCTATGTTAGTGAACACTGATAAGCAACAGACTGAATTTTCTTTTGCAAATTTGAAGGTTCTTAGAAAAGTTCACTTCACTGAAAGAGAGAACCCACATAAATATATTTTATCGCATACATTTCACGTGATGTCTTAAATCCATCTTCAACACTCCACTTGCACAACGAAAATTTTGTAAATTGTACACCAAATGAATAACTAACTATTCACAACGGACTTGACACTGACAGACAAATTCTGTGACAGCCATTAACCGAGACACAGACAATCCAACCTCGGCAAATCGGAGTGAACTGAAAACTGAACTGACTGAAACGAGTGGACAGTGGAGTTGAGTAGTGAGACGGAAGAACTCAGCGACGATAAACCCACAAAGCTGCTGATTGCAGAATCATCCAAAAGTGTACTTAGCTGCTATCTGTGAGCGAACCCAGAAACTATTTTTACATCGTTTTAGTAATAAGGTGCTACCTGGTGGCAAATTACAGAACTATGTGGATTTTCTTACAGTTACAACAATGGTCCAATCTCGATGAAGCTTCAACCTGTATTTATTTCTAGTTTTCTTAATAAATTGCTCGGTTTATTCTGTGGTTGATTATAAAATAGATACCCCCGCCGCAGCAAACCTGCAGACTAAGCGAATTTGCACTTGTCTGATTACATTTTTACTAAAATATTTTCATAAATAAGACATATTTATTCCCAATTTAAACACAGTAGCATTAAACGAGTCCTTAGGTTTGCTGCTAGGCCTACGGGGAAGGTAAAAAGTGTTTTTTGACCAAACGTAAATTAGTATAGTAGGTATGAAATAAATAAATTTGTCAAATTTTATCAACTTAATATCCATAAACAAGTAAACCACAACAGTTTTAATTTTCTCCATAAGAATAACATGGACATTTCAAATTTACACTTTTTTGAATTTTCTCTGTAACCATTAGGCATACAACAATGCTTCAATATACTAAATTATTTCTTTTTTAGCGAATTTCCCATATAGGGAATAAGCTATATTACCGTAGTACTCATGGTAAGACCTGGACCCGGGACCGATTTTTTTTTTCGTTTTGAGGTCCCTAGAAGCCAAAAACACCATCCGTTCAAATTCATATATATATATATTTATATATATATATATGTGTCCGTTAGCGCGATAACTCGAGCAAAAATGATCCGATTTTGATGAAATTTGGTACAAACGTGTAAACCTACGTTTATTCAAACGAGTTCGCGAACCAGCATGATCGGACCATGGGAACGGGGGTTTATGGGGGCTTTTATGGAGTAAAAATGGCTTTTTCTCATTTTTGACCCTAAAAACTTAAAATTTCTAAATTTCTCTCTAGACCATTTTGAAGAGCTTAAAAAAAACAAATAATTTAGTATATTGAAGTGTTTTTGAATGTTCATTGACTACGGAGAAAATTTAAAAAATTTTAAATTTAAAATTCCCATGTTATTCTTATGGAGAATAATTAAACTGTTGTAGTTTGCTTGTTTATTAACATATTTTGCCCAAATTTGGAAAATGTTTTTACTTCTTACCAACTATTAACATTTTACATAAAAAACACTTTTACCCTCCCTGTTGCAGCAAACCTAAGTATGTTTTAAACTGATTCTATTTAAATAGGGAATAAATGTGATATTTTTAAGGAGACATTTTAGTGTAAATCCATTCAGGGAAATGGAAATTCGCTTAGTCTGCAGGTTTGCTGCGGCGGGGGTATTTAAGCTCTACAAAATGGTTGGGAAAGATATTCCAAAATTTTATGTTTTTAGGGCCAAAAATGGGAAAACCCATTTTTACCCCATAAAACCCGCTATAAACCCCCGTCCCCATGGTCCGATCATGCTGGTTTGGGAACACATTTAAATAAATGTAGGTTTACACGTTTATACCAAATTTCATCAAAATCGGATCATGCTAACGGATACACACATATATATATATGAATTTGAAAGGATGGTGTTTTTGGCCTCTAGGGACCTCAAAAGGAAAAAAGTAAATAAAATCGATCACAGGTCCAGGTCTTATAATGAGACCTATGGTAATAGCATGGAAAATTCGCTAATAACGTTTATTATCAACACAACCATGGTTTGGTGTCTAATTATTAAACTTGAAGTTAGTTATTAATATGGTATTAATAGTAGGTCTATGTGATTTATTGTGACTGCGGAAGGATTTGTGATTTAATTTGAAGAGGATTGACCTATACAATTTTTTCATAAAAAATAGTAGTTTTGAAACTTTAAGATTGACATTTTTAATATCAGAAATAAAGAAAAAGGATTTGTAAATAAGGGAGATGAGGTAAATCGTGTATGTGAAAATGCTTTTTGAAAATTTGTAAGTGTCTCTCTTATTAGCTTACACAAGATTTAAAATTAATCAAAACCAAAATGGCGGTTTCCATACTACTTACTTACCAGATTTAAAAACCACAAACATTTCTATATAAAGGCCATAAATGTTGAATTTTGTTTCTAAAAGCGTTGGCGGATGAGAAACTATTTTATATAAAAGATGTTAAGATTTTATAAAGATCAAAATGTTTCTATTTCAATCCTCTTCCGGGTGCAAAGCACAGGTACATCAGCTCGTTTTCTATTTGAATAGTGTCATTAAATGATCACTTAGAATTGCTGCTCTATGGAGGTAATAAGACAGTGTTTTTATTGTAATGTAAATAGCAACTGTAAAGCTGGGTTTTCCTAGGCGCGGAAGCGGAGAGCGGAGAGAGGAACGCGGAGGGAGAGCGGAAAAGAGATTAACATGGTGTTCCACTCCGCTTCTAGGAAAACAGTAACATTAAATTACCTAGGACAAGTGGAGTCTGCTCTCCGCGTTCCTCTCTCTGCTCTCCGCTTCCGCGCCTAGGAAAACACGGCTTTAAGGATTTTTTGAGGATCATAGACTTGACTTACCTAAGTGGGTAAAAAAAGTCCACACTCTGACTCAAGAAACATATGTGCACTCCTTTCTCCATTTACACCAAGACATCTCTCTTACCTCCCAACTCAAACCTCATTGGTTCTAAATACTGTCAGATACAGTGAAATATTCTAATTTTGATTTATGGTGTAAAATTTAGTGTCTCTTGAGAGTTGTGGGGAGGGGAGTCGTTACACAAAACAGGTGGTAATTATGTGTTTAAAGAGACAGAAGTGACGTAAAAGGGGGAAGAAACTAATTTCTAACCCTAAGGTGGTTATGGTTTGTCAAGAGGTATGACGGTAATAACATGGTTTTCAAGGTCATACATTTCTTTTTTGATTATTCTTTATTTAGGCCTACAGAAAACAATTTTGAAAGTTACAGAAACAAGAAATTATAATAACTTATATACTAATACAATTTGTTTATTTCTTAACTCCTTGATTGCATTTTGGAGTTCTGTCCATCTTGCTATATCTGCATCATACTCGGTCCATTCGATGTTGTCCTGAGGCTGAGAACACCAAACAAACACGATCAATTTTGTTATGAAGCTCTTTCTACTTCTCTAGCAGCAGAAGTAGATTAGCCTGACGTTTCCGCTCCTGCTCTTCTACCTCAATGCAAGACAGATGTAAATCAGTGACGTTGATATTGCTCGTCCACTTGCTGTTGAGTGATGGTTGGCCATCTCGTGTAAAGTCGTATAAAAGTGGATGGGAAGTGACTGCTGTGTGTCAATAACCAATAAGTGCAGGTCCCCGACAAAGTGAGTGGAGCCACAGCAGCAGGGGTGGGGGAGAGCAGTCTACGTTGAGCACCATGTGGGTATGATTCCATACGTTTCAAAAGAAGGGTGTTTTACGTCCTTGGTCTTGTGAGGGATGTTTATATGTTTTACAATGGAATGGTTAGACGGTTAGATTAACCTATTGAAAAAAAATTTTAATGTATGTTATTAAAATATGTCCTTGTACTATTAGCATACAAACTAATTTTAAGTAAGCTTATAATGAACCACCAGATAGAGGTTGAAAAAAGAATAAAAATAAATACTGTACATTTAATTAACTTACTAAATTAAATATATACAAAAAATATTGAAATCCACATGATTCACACTTTATGATCTATGGCCCCATGGGCAAAGGCAGTCTCTTGTAGTCCACCTTCTCCAACTGAACGAGTGGTCGCAGCTGTTCCGCAAACAGTCGCATGTCCTCAGCAATGGCGTCCTGTCCCAGTGGTGCCAACACGCTGAGCTCAACAAGGTACGACTGAGAGATAGGCTCCATGCTGTCTGGTGGTTTGGGTTGCACCATCTAAAACAGCATCAACTAAGTTAAAGCATTAAGTTACTTTAACAGGTTTTTTTTCTACTCTGACATGAACCTTTCTAAAAAGGTGAGGGGATGTATCAACAAACTGATTGAAAAGAAGTTTGGTTTACACCTAGGTCGAGGAATAGGTTCAGTTTTAGCGAATTTCCCTATAGGGAAGTAGCTATTACCGTAGGTGGCACGGTAAGTCCCAGGCCCGGGACCGATTTACTTTTTCATTTTGATGTCCCCAGAGGCTAAAAACACCATTCGTTCAAATTTTTACATATGTATATATATATATATATATATATATATATTTAGACATATATATACGTCCGTGACCGCGATAACTTGAGTAATTTTTGTCCGATTTTGATGAAATTTGGTTTAAAGGTGTAACGCGCGATAAACGAACGGGGTTTTACGGGGGGTTTTATGGGGTAAAAAATGGTTTTTCTCATTTTTGACCCTCAAAATACAAAATTTCCCAATTTCTCTCTAGACCTTTTTAAAGAGCTTAAAAGAACAAATAATTTAGTATATTAAAGTGTTTTTGTACGATTATTGGTAACGGAGAAAATTCAAAAAATTGTAAATTTAAAATTTCCATGTTATTCTTATGGAGAATATTTTAAAATGTTGTTGTTTGCTTGTTTAGTTTATGGATATATTTTGATCAAACTTGGCAAATTTATTTATTTTATACTAAGCTATGAATATTTTACTAAAAAATACATTTTATTAGTTTCCTTGTAGCAGCAAACCTAGGTACTCAGTCTTATGTTATTTAAGTAGATTTATTTAAAAATCAACTCAGACAAATGGAAATTCGCTTAGTATGCAGGTTTGCTGCGGCGGGGGTATTTTTTTGTTTTCTTGGGTTCCGCCAATAAGGTATAGTTGATAAAAGAGTACATGAGTTACCTAATTCTGAGCAAGTTTCCTAATTCAGTAAGAACACTTACTGGGTTATATCATTGACTCTTGGGTACTGAAGTAGTCATCCCATCTATATGGATCTATAAGTCGCCAATCTTTTATTGAAAATAACAAAAATAACACAGTTGTGTGAGTCACAGAATGTGTTAGTGTTAAACAATTTTCCCCTAACGTTATGTTGCTGACATAGTTGATGGGTCGTACCAGTTGCTATAGCTCACAATAAGTCTTTCCATCAGTTTGACTTGGAAAACAGTTACTTCTTGTATTCAATATAAATCGGTAATTTAGATCAGCGCATTTTGTCGGTGGCTCTCATCAACTACAACGATTTTGATTAAAAAGCTGGTGACAACTTTAACATGGGGATGGAATGTCTAGTTGTATCAATATTTATCAAAGGTTATAGTTATAATAATATATAATATAGGCTACATAATTTAACCAAGATTCACTAACATTAGGAACACATATGTCTGCATGTTCTGTACATGAGCTGTATTTCGGTTAAATAATTAGGCTATATTTAACTGTTTTCCTAATGTACAACCGGTCAGGAGCTAGAATGGAAATTAATTGTAACCTAATCCAAACCAACTACTGTGCCATAATTGTCTTAATTGAATATACTGGTTTGACATAATGAGAATACTGTGTGAGAACATAAGAGACGTTCATATGTTATGAATAAACAGTGAAGAATCTATCACATACTTACCTGGTCTGTACCTAGTTATTGCTAAACACAGTACAAAATACATCTTTTAGGGAAAAAAGATAAAAAAAGCTTTTCAAGCATTTTAGTTTTTTGATTTTTCTCTGCTTTATGTAAATGCATGGGCATAACTTTTCTCAGTGAGAGGTTATGATTTAAAAAACAAACGAGCAAGAAACAAACGATACTATTCATTCTCCAGTTAGATTGACAATGCCTCTTCAATTAGTAACTCCTGGTCCATTAAACCAGGAAAACAAAGACAATGGAATATAATTCATAGATTATAAGTCACATAGATGATAAAGCAATTTTTCATACTACAGTTTAGAGTTTTGTATTTTTGCTGCCAATTATTCTGTATACATAGGTTCCTGCTACAAACCGCCAAGGAATTAGTAGTGCAGAGTGCTAGATACATTTTTGTAAAAGAGGAAAAGAAAAAATTTAAAGTTTTTTTTTTTTCGTGCATTAATTGGACCTTGAAGACAAATTTTGTTAACTTGGCGAGGCAAAGCTGTTGTATTATCATAAATAAAAAAATTTGAATTTGAAAAAACAAACTTATCTGAATAAAATTCTAATCTTAAATCTAAATTGTGACGATTAATTGAGCCTAGGCTATTTACTACACAAGTTTCTCTACATCATGCTCAACCTCAACAAGGCTTAACCGATACTTTCTTTACTGGAACTAGAAGTTGACTAAACATAGATATCTCACCTTAAATATCTTGGACACAGTGATCTTCATCCGGCCCTTGCGAAACATGTAACCTCTCGCAGTATACTCAAAGTCCAGCCTGCAGCCGAGCTCAGTGAGGAATTCAACAACTGTGTTGCTGGTGCCAATGTCAATACTGTTGCGGACAATGGTCGGCCGAGACTTGTCACCTGCAATAAGTTACAAAACATAAGCTTCAATAATGTTCACAACATGACCTGTTAAATGTGGCTGCCTTGGACGGATCTCAAACTCATATAGGCCTAAGATGATTTTAATTAGCAAGATATAAACAGTTAAAATAACATAACCAAATAATAAATAGAGCTACAAAGCTAAGAAATAAAACTGTTGCTGATAATCAGCAAAAAGACTTGTAGCACTGAGGGTTACACAATTAATTAAGTACAGACCTGTGCCGAGCTCTGGCTGACCAATGTACCTCAGCTGCCATGGCATCTCCGGGTAGTCCATTGCTCTTCTAACACGCAACATTAAGCTGGCCTGGAGCTGGGCTGTGGTCCCTCCTGAAATATATAATTTATTAGATAAAGAACAGTAATAAAAGAATCGGTACTTTCGTATTATATGGAGGCCACTCTTATATAGCGCGCTGCGGCAGTTATGTTAGGTTGGGTTATCATAAATAGGCCTATGTTTGTTGGACTTTCCTCGTTTTGTTATAAATCGAACAATACCAGATGAGTCATAATTTCACCCGCCAAATCCCCTCCAAGCAGGCCCAGGTGAGGTTGTTGACCGGAGCGTGCGCATCACCTGTCACCACCGCCTGTATCTGGGTCAGTGTCCTGAGTGATGACCCATCTGGTATCGTTCGATTCACAACGAAATGAGGAAAGTCCTACAAACATATTCTGATAACCCAACCTTACATAACCTCCACAGCCCGCTGTATACCTACTTGGCAGAGTACATGGGGCAGCTAGCGGCGGCGACGCTTTCAACTCAATCCTCGCCGACATTGAAGGTCGCTAATTGTAATCATGTCAAATTTGGACAGTAAGTCAATTAAAGTATGTTCTTTTCAATCATGTAGTTATTTTCAGTCTACGGTAAAAAAATCCTCCTAAAATAAGTGGCCTCCGTATACTGTAATATGAAAGTACCAGAATTTCAACCAGTTTGTAAACTGAAGAGTTCCCAGTAGGCACACATGGGAAACACCTGTGTTACTTTCAACAACAGTGTAATGGGCAACAATAATTGAGAGACTGGTTGCTAAGGCTAGCATAAGTACTGTAAATTGATTGTTTAGGAACATCTTGTATAGGGATAGGCAGGAAAGGGTTTCGAGAACATTTGCTGATGCCAGTCACTGCAACTGCAGGTAGATGCAAATAAAAGTTTGCAATATTCTTTACATCTCTAGGCACTGGGCAAGAAAGGAAATTTCAGTTGTAAAGCACCAACATTCAATTGCAAATGTCAAAAAATTTGCTGACCAAAGGGAATAGTTCTGTGAGTAGTTGAAAACTCTAAGTTAGGTAGTGTTTTGTTTGAAATTAAAAAAAAAAACCATCTAGCTAAACAACTCAGATGTAGCTCTTCCCTTTGAAAAATATTAATCTTTTTTTTATAAAAAGAAGTTTGCCGCCCCTTTTACTCTTGTATTACCCTGGCCACATGGTAGATCTCGGGCCTGTGCATAGAACGAATTCAGCAAAGCAATGGATGAGTCAATCAGTACAAAATGAAAACGGAAACAGGTAAAATATGGTGACAAGCACCAGGATGCGAACCCACTACGTTTACCATGGACTCAAGGTTACTAAACCACTGACTTACAACCTCAAGTATAATAGACTTAATTAAAATTACATGATCAGGATGCAGATGCATGTAGCCTCTCATCTTTCTATGCAGATTTAAGAAACTACAAAAGAAAAATGAGTCAAATAAAAATTTACTCACGGAGAGTAAAACACATTTCGTGGTCATGAAATGTTTCTGGTCCAGAGTCAACATTATCACACAGTCCTCGAAGCCTGTGTAGCAGAACTTCAACAGCAGAATCGATGACACTGCCTTGCAGCAGATATTCCTGGTTTGGTATAATGTTCCCCTTCAGAGCTGCTGTCAGATTGTCCAAGGCAGTGGGGGGTTGGGTCATGTTCCAATCCTAAAAAATATGTTTTTGGTAAAATTGTGGCAACTTTCTCAAGTAAAGACATAAGACATAAGATCAATTTATTTCCTTTAGAACTTTAAGTACAAAGTCATTGGAAAACGTCAGTAATTCTAGTACGGTACATCATGAAATATACATTAAAGATTTTATAAATAAAACAATTCCTTCAACATCACATAATACAAAAAAAAAGGAAATACGTAATGTGTCAGGTGACAAATGAAAAAGTCCTGAAACTCGCCACGCAAAGAGTGAAAAACCAAACAGCACACTCGGCAGTTATCCCGAAAAACCTGATAATAGGCACTACATTCAAGCGCTGAATCACCAGACATTAACTTTTGAAAAGTTTTTTACTTTTAACGTTTTAACCATTGATATTACTTACTTACTTACTTACTGCAGTGGCCATAGGTACCCCAAGTGGTACTTGGCCTCGCCTACACATTGCCTCCAGCCTTCTCTGTCCTGCGCCTGGTCTTCATTTCTACCCAGCTTCCTCAAGTCCCGTCGCACCTGGTCCTTCCATCTCAGTTTAGGCCTGCCTGGTGGCCTTCTGCCTTCTGGGTCGTTCCTTAATACACTGCTTAAGGTTGTGCCATGTTCTCTTCTGAGGACATGACCCGCCCACCTAATGCGTCTGCTTTTTACCTCAGCTGTTATATCTGGGTCTTTATATAGCTCTCTTATTTCGAAATTATGTCTAATTCTCCAGAATCCATCTTCTTTAGTTGGGCCATATATTTTCCTAAGAATTTTGTTTTCAAAAGTTACTAACCGTTTTTCTGATTTTTTGCTCATTACCCAACACTCAGATCCATACATTAGTGTCGGTCTAATTATAGTTTTATAAACTCTTACTTTAGTATTGCGGGATAACAGCTTTGAGCTCAAAATTTTGTTACATGCATGGAGGCTTCTGTTTGCAGCATTGAGTCTGTTAGTTATTTCCAGTTCTTCATTATTATCATTTGTTAATAAGACTCCCAGGTAGGTGAAATTGTTCACTTTTTGGAAAACATGGTTTTCTATCTGCAGGACTTCATTGTCCTCTTCTTGGTCATCTCGTCTACCACATTGCATATATTTAGTTTTTCTATCATTTATTTCAAGGCCAGCCTTTTTCGTTTCCTCAATCAATATTCTGACTAGATCTTCTAAGTCTTGTTTTGTATGTGCTAATATCGCATTATATTAGATAATAATAACATAACCATTGATATTAGAGGCTATAATTTAGACTTAAGAGATCAAACAATATTGATCCAGTCTTTCAGTAAGACAACTTAGGGGCCTAAAAATGTCTAACTTACTGGAATACATATCTAGGCCTATTACGGTATTCAACTAAGTTAACACAGTAAAGGTTGAATCACACATAGGCCTATCAGTCAACTGTCTGTCAGGTGGTTTCAGTCAGTCTTTCTTCATTTTATTTACAATGATGTCACAGTCAAGAATGGTAAAAAATTAAATCACTACGGTAGCCTATATCCTGTCAATGATTCATCGTCAATCTTGATGATTGTTACAGGTCCTATTACAAACAAAAGGTCTACTTAAAATATAAACACAATTAGCCTACTTACCCTAACTTATTAAAATAAAAACACTGTTTTTTTATCACAAACACATAAGTGACATCACACGACCGTCAGGTGTCAGAGCAATCACAAAATTCGTTAGGCTATTAAAGCCTAGACACCTATAAATTATTCAGTATAATTTACGTTTAACAGTAGCCTTAAGTTTTAAGGTTAAGGTCAACAGTTGAATTCTGTTGCAGTGTATGTGTTTTGTATCAATTATGATACATCTTCAGCTGCGTAGCACAGGTTAACGCAGCTCACATCGAGAGTGTTTGTTACATATTAAAATACTTAAAAAAACAACAAATACAAACCCACGAATATGGACACGACAACGTACACACATTATTTGCACAACTTACAACCTTTGCGCCGCACCGTACCATTGACTATAGGCCTATAGGTCATTGTTGCTAAAAACTTTTGTGTTATTTAGCTGAATTTGTCTATGTCAGTAACTTATACAATGCAAATAATGTGTGTCTGTATTTGTATTCGTAGTTTTATTCAAATATGTGACAAACACTCTCAATGTGATCTGTTTTAACCTGTGAAACACAGCTGAAGATGTATCGTAATTGATACGGCAGGAGCGTACTGCTACAGAATTCAGCTGTTGGCACCTTAGGCTTCTGTAAAAGTTAAATTATAAGTTAGGGCCTACTGAATAATCTCAAAATATCGTTGGGAATAAATCTGATATTAGCTGACGGTCGCCAGGAGATTAACTGACGAACCTGAGTTAGTAAAAATTGATGACTGTGACATAACTGATGAGACATGCCGGAACTGATGAGTGTGAATAGACCTTTCAAATGCCAAAAAGTTATAAGTTACCTAAACCCAGAATGTATTTTCCTCAAAAATTTACGTTTCTAAAAAATATAACTAAGTTATTTAAGTTACTCAACTTATTCCTTTGCTTCAGCGATGGGAATAGGGAAAAGATAAAAGTCACAGGCTTTTTAGTTTAGGCCTATTGTCCTTAGGCCTACACAATGGATGTCATGGCTTGTTTGAATAAATCTAAATTAGGCCTAGAACTTATCTCTCATGCCTAGGAAAATTAAAAATAACAAATAGCCTAGAGATAAAGATTAAAATGTAATTAACATGGATTATCTTAATTAAAATAATGTGCAAGCTACTGACCTTTGAGTCCATATCTTAGGGCCTATGTGTTTGGGACAAATCTTGGAATGCTTGGAGATGTTATTAATGTCAACACAGGTCTAACCTAACAAGTTATAGCATAACGTGAGCCAATTTACTAACTATATGGTACATTTAAGCTTTAATGAAAATCGCGTTTAGTTGATAACTGAGGATTATTTTCAACCCTAGATGAATTAATATACAGTAATCAATAATTCTTTTTAAACTGAGAATCGCAAAAGACTAGGCTAACCCACGGTGGGGCACACGGGAGGGACTAACCGTCGTGAAGTTAGCGGCTCTTTTCATCGGCGCTTTTTCGGTTTGTAATAGATGTGGGTTGGTACTCCTGCGGACGCCACAAACGTGTTTTGCAGGGATGTCGGAAACACAATTCAATGACAATACGGTGCGAAATGATGTTTTTATATTTATATAATGTCAATTATACATTGATAAAACGTGTATACAAGTTAAAACTAATTAATTGACGTATTTTAAAAGGCATATTTGAGACCGTAGTGTACATTATACGTAGCTATGGCTTAACATAATGCGATCAATTAAAACTCCGAACATAAAAAGTGCATAATCTTTTTTCCCAAGCCCATCACATCAACTTTGAGCTATTCTAATGGTAATATATAATGTGTAGAATACTCAGTATAAATATGATTGAGGCAGTCCAGTGAATTACGAAGCTATAAGGCAAAATGTATATGGTTGATAGTAACTCGTATCAGGAAAAAGTGCACAATCTTTTTCCTAAGCCCATCACATCAACTTTGAGGTATTCTAATGGTAATGTACAATGTGTAGAATACTCAGTATAAATATGATTGAGGCAGTCCAGTGAATTACGAAGCTATAAGGCAAAATCTATATGGTTGATAGGAATTTGCGTCAGGAAAAGTGCACAATCTTTTTCCTAAGCCCATCACATCAACTTTGAGGTATTATAATGGTAATATACAATGTGTAGAATAATCAGTATGAGTATGATTGCGGCAGTCCAGTGAATTACGAAGTTATATGGCAAAATGTATATGGTTGATAGGAACTCGCATCAGGAAAAGTGCACAATCTTTTTCCTAAGCCCATCACATCAACTTTGAGGTATTCTAATGTTAATATACAATGTGTAGAATAATCAGTATGAGTATGATTGCGGCAGTCCAGTAAATTACGAAGTTATATGGCAAAATGTATATGGTTGATAGGAACTCGCATCAGGAAAAGTGCACAATCTTTTTCCTGAGCCCATCACATCAACTTTGAGGTATTCTAATGGTAATATACAATGTGTAGAATACTCAGGGTAAATATGATTGCGGCAGTCCATTAAATTACGAAGTTATATGGCAAAATGTATATGGTTGATAGGAACTCGCATCAGGAAAAGTGCACAATCTTTTTCCTAAGCCCATCACATCAACTTTGAGGTATTATAATGGTAATATACAATGTGTAGAATAATCAGTATGAGTATGATTGCGGCAGTCCAGTAAATTACGAAGTTATATGGCAAAATGTATATAGTTGATAGGAACTCGCATCAGGAAAAGTGCACAATCTTTTACCTAAGCCCATCACATAAACTTTGAGGTATTCTAATGTTAATATACAATGTGTAGAATAATCAGTATGAGTATGATTGCGGCAGTCCAGTAAATTACGAAGTTATATGGCAAAATGTATATGGTTGATAGGAACTCGCATCTGGAAAAGTGCACAATCTTTTTCCTGAGCCCATCACATCAACTTTGAGGTATTATAAAGGTAATATACAATGTGTAGAATAATCAGTATGAGTATGATTGCGGCAGTCCAGTATATTACGAAGTTATATGGCAAAATGTATATGGTTGATAGGAACTCGCATCAGGAAAAGTGCACAATCTTTTTCCTCAGACCATCACATCAACTTTGAGGTATTTTAATGGTAATATACAATGTGTAGAATACTCAGTATAAATATGATTGAGGCAGTCCAGTGATTTACGAAGCTATAAGGCAAAGTGTATATGGTTGATAGGAACTCGCATCTGGAAAAGTGCACACTCTTTTTCCTAAGCCCATCACATCAACTTTGAGGTATTCTAATGGTAATATACGATGTGTAGAATACTCAGGGTAAATATGATTGCGGCAGTCCAGTGAATTACGAAGCTATAAGGCAAAATCTATATGGTTTATAGGAATTTGCGTCAGGAAAAGTTTCGGTTTGTAATAGATGTGGGTTGGTACGCCTGCGGACGCCACAAACGTGTTTCGCAGGGATGTCGGAAACACAAATCAATGACAATACGGTGCGAAATGATGTTTTTATATTTATATAATGTCAATAATACATTGATAAAACGTGTATACAAGTTAAAACTAATTAATTGACGTATTTTAAAAGGCATATTTGAGACCGTACTGTACATTATACGTAGCTAAGGCTTAACATAACGGGAACAATTAAAACTTAGAACTTTAAAAGTGCATAATCTTTTTTCCCAAGCCCATCACATCAACTTTGAGCTATTCTAATGGTAATACACAATGTGTAGAATACTCAGTATAAATATGATTGAGGCAGTCCAGTGAATTACGAAGCTATAAGGCAAAATGTGTATGGTTGATAGTAACTCGTATCAGGAAAAAGTGCACAATCTTTTTCCTAAGCCCATCACACCAACTTTGATGTATTATAATGCTAATATACAATGTATAGAATAATCAGTATGAGTATGATTGCGGCAGTCCAGTGAATTACGAAGCTATAAGGCAAAATCTATATGGTTGATCGGAACTCGCTTCAGGAAAATTGCACAATCTTTTTCCTAAGCCCATCACATCAACTTTGAGGTATTCTAATGCTAATATACAATATATAGAATAATCAGTATGAGTATGATTGCGGCAGTCCAGTGAATTACGAAGCTATAAGGCAAAATCTATATGGTTGATAGGAATTTGCGTCAGGAAAAGTGCACAATCTTTTTCCTAAGCCCATCACATCAATTTTGAGGTAAATGTTTTTGGTGTTATTGGAAAGAGCGCAACGTGAAGTTGTGCAGGAAACTTTCTTTTTAGGAAAATAATTAGATAGTGAGGCCCTGAGGTCCTTTAAAGTTTCGTATTCCTCCACAAGATTAACATGGGAAACAAACATTGTTATGAAACTCCAGCTGTTGTCAGATATGAAAAGTGAGAAGAAGAACATAATAATGTTAATTGTAAACAGTCAATAGGTTTGCTAATTTGACAGTTTGCTACAAACGTTTACTTACTTGGTTAAAACATAGACAAAAAGAATTAATATAGACCGCCAGCTGTGCTGCGGTTAAAATTAAATATTTATAAGTATTTGAGTTTGGGTTGGCGTAAATATTAAAATGGTCAAAAGCGATAGGGCCTGGATAATTTGATATACTAAAAAGAAAACTGAATCAACACTATGCTGCATTTCTAAGTTATCATTGAAAGAGCCGATTTGCAAACTATGGAAACATAGGAAAGTCATAGATCACCACCAAGGAGAAGAAATAGAAATATTTTTTTGTTTTGAATTTATAATCGTTATTTTGGACATAGACTAACCAACTAACTAAGGGAGTATGTTTTATCTATGTTTTGGACGACCTAATGCGGCTATAAGTAAGGCTATTTGTAGAAAACACTAAAAAACAAGATCAGCTTTTAAAAAATTATAAGATATATAAAAGAAATGTTGATTATATTGATCTGTTTTGTACATCTTGAGTATTTACATAATCTTTAAGTCGAATCTTTTTTTAAAGTCATAAATTATAACTATTATTTGTTTTAAAATAACGCCTGTGCTGTAATACTTAGCAATTGCTCGAATTCAAGAAACAGATACACTACGGTAGTTAACATTAACAAGGCGTAGTAAGTATCTAGAAAACTGAGTTATATCGGAATTTTGGTAGGAACAGGAAGCCGGGTCCAGGCTGATTGCGAGTTTCTCGTTGTGTGTGTGACTGTGACTGTATGGCTGTGTAGGTATGTTGCCATGCCAACCGCCACGAGCCACGTGGACGTACAGTAGTTCAAACATGAACCAGTAGAGCGCGGCCCAGATCAGTCAGTCAGTGGCAATGGCAATATTTAAAAATATTATCCAACGGTCGTTTCAGAGCGATCTGTTGTGTTCTTGTTCTAATGTTCCATTGTGTGTGACTGAATCGCTGAATTGATCACTAACGTTGGCCAGGGTGCTATCGCAGCATTCAACCTTCACCCAAAAATGGTAGACAACAATTTCATTATTGAACCGTATGTTGTCGCCTTAAAAGCATGTATTGCTTGTAATGATTGGTAAGGATATATTTTGTATCCCGTTTCCAGTGATATGGGATACAAAATATGTCCTTACCAATAAAAGATATTAAAATAAAAATTAAACATAAAATTGGTCAGTCACAGTGTTGTTTATGATGTATTGAACTACTTTGAGATAAGTTCAATTCTTGATAAACTACTTGATTTTGATTTTTCATATACAGTAGTATCAATATTGAAGTTTACACATAGTACATTGAATTATATTTCAGTAACTTATTCCATATATATCAATATTTCCAAACGCAGCCTATTGCTACCGGCAAAAGTTACGTTGGCATTGTTTTCGTCAAAACCTTTTAAGTTAGTTTATATATTAGTTACTATTCTGAATCCTGAGCCCTAAACGTGGTTTATATACGAAGTGATGTTGGTGTTCACTAACCTAAATAAAACGACTTGATTGAATTTAAATAAATGAATTAGTTTTGTTTTTATTTGATTACAGTTAAATACGAGTTTGATCGTACAGAGACTGGACAAATGTATTCAAATTGGGAAAACCGACAAATATTCTATTATTTTGTCATGATTGCAAAAACTGTAGTGACGAATAAATCAATGTGAATTTATATTTATAACCTTGTTACCGACCTCTTCTGATGGACTGAGAGCTAAGGAGGTCGTCTTTGGAAAACGCCGAAATATGTCTGGGGTTGTTAATTCTTGGCTAGCAGCTACGAAGGTCAACGAACGGCAAAGAGATGCCGCTGTCTCGGGTTTTCCTTAAGGGTTGGTTGTTAACAGGTGTTCGCACGGTGACACTATAGGGAGAGAAAGTAGGGACGGGAGCGAAACCATGTCGGTCAGCGCTAGATCAAAGCTGTGAGACGGCCCCGTCAGCCCATGAATTTCATACTTTTTTTGTAGTCTCGGGGAGAAATTCCAA